TAGCTAGTTATATCTTTTCATCTAATCCAGATAAGATTTTTTTAGTTTTCAAAATTAAAATATTGCAATGGATGGTTTTCATTAAAAGCCACTTTATGTTTCGTTACTTTTTCAAGATATATGTTTATATACAATTTATGCGTTTTCCATAGAACTATGACTTTAGGGAAAGCCATTCAAGTACCGTAGCGCTTTTCCCAGCCATCTAGCCATCCCTCTCCCGAAACAAATGACACAATGTCTAAAAATAAAACAAAGAAGTTTCTTAAAAACTATTTTTCTACGAACTAACATCTACCGGTAGTGAAGTATTTTCACTTAGTGATCGCTTGCTTCATCGCCGTCTAAAAATCTCATGACTTTGGATAACGGTGGACAACCTTCGACAACTGCTTGGTTTTTGTGAAGAACCTAAAAAAAGAAAATGTGAAGCTTTAGGAAAGTGTTTGTAAATGATTATAATGATGTTGTTGTTGAGACGGTGGTGTAATGGTGTAAGGAGAAATAGCGGCAATTAGAGGGGAAGGAGTAGCAGGAGGACGAGAAGGAGAGGAGGAGGAGGAGAAGGAGGAGAAGGAGGAGAAGGAGGAGAAGGAGGAGAAGGAGGAGGAGGAGGATAGTGACACCACTTTTAACTGTATTATATGCAAGTCTCATTTGGTTCTTACTATTCTAATCTTCTCAAGAATCTCGTCCAGCCGGCAAATTTCTGTTTCTGCTTTATTCAAGTTTCGTTCCAAATTATAAACCTAAAAACGTAAAAGATATGACAATTAAGAACAATAAGAAATCAAAAATGTCCCAAGAGCATGCAGAAACATCGGTAACAGCAGCAAACAAATGCTGGATTTTCAGTGCCATTCAACAACATCTGCACATATGGGTCTTTTATTTTTAATCATTTACACGACCAACGCAGCTCCAGACGTGTGGGTCAACTTCTTGGCTTAGCTTCCGTCAATCAAGGACACTAAGTCAGGTCGTTGTAAGTTCCAGGGGCGGATCTAGAATTTTGTTCAGGGAGGGGTGGGTTCTGCGCACAAAGTTAACACAGGGAGGGGTGCACCCCTTAGAATTAAAATGGAAAAACATTAGTTAGTATTGGTTATCGTCGAAGTAGGGGCACGAAGTCGAACCAGGGAGGGGTGCACACCCCCTGCACCCCTGTCCTGCATCCGCCCCTGAATTTGATTGACGGAAGCCAAAATCCCACACACCTCGAATTATAGCTGGTTGTCTGGGTTAAGTAATTATAAAAAATTGCGTAAAAAATAATTTTAGTTCAATGGACAAGAAAGAAGAATACAAGTAATTGTGCGTGTGGGTAGTAGAAGCACGAAAAGCACTAAAATGAAAGATCACAATGAAATGAAACAAGAGGATAAGATATACCTTTTGATTATTTGCTATTTTTTGTTGGTTCAAGGTATCGTCAGTTTTAAACCGATATTCGAGGTATTTCTCTTTGATCTGCTTCAACTGTGAAATGAAAATAAGAAAATATTAATTGCACATATACGTTTATTTTCAAAATTGATGAAAAATTATAAAATAATTGAGATATAACGCACGCTCTGATTGGTAAAAAAATAAAACACGTTCAATGAGAGAGATCCCCAAGACATGCTAATGCCATTTTTTTCCGCGCGGGTGCTCTGATTTGAACCTTCATCTCGGATGCTGGGAGCTTGTGACATAGCAAAAATCTATTTTAAAAAATCACTTCAAATAACCTTTCTTTCCATGGAAAACTTTTCCTCCAATATTTTGCCAGGCAGGCTGGTCTGATTGGCTGGATTAGAACACAGCTCATTCACTTTTTCAATTGTTTCACTCAGCTGTTGTAGTACGCATTCTTTTTCTGACTTTAGCTTGTCGTACTCGTCTTCTTTGTGATTTAATTCCTCTTTTAAGTTCTGTGGTAATAGGAAAGGAGAGAAGCCGATTAAGCTGTAACTGAACTCAAAATTGAATTGCGTCATCTGATTGCATTGATAGGTGGATGGATGGATGGATGGACGGATGGATGGGTTGATGGATGGATGGATGGGTGGGTGGATGGATGGATGGATGGATGGGTGGGTGGATGGATGGATGGATGGATGGATGGGTGGGTGGGTGGATGGATGGATGGATGGGTGGGTGGGTGGATGGATGGATGGATGGGTGGGTGGATGGATGGATGGATGGGTGGGTGGGTGGATGGATGGATGGATGGATAGTTGAATCAATAGAAAGGTGAATGGAAGAATGAAAGGAGTGGGTGGAAGAAGATTTTATGGGTAGGTGGGGGATGGATTTATGAATGGGTGGGTAGAAGGATAGATGGGTTAAACTTATCTTGCGATACAAGTTGAACAATTAAAAACTTCCTCAAACTTTAGCATGGACTACTCTCCAATTATATTCTTGAAACTCTTGATGAATAAATGAATGAAAGAATGAAAGAATGAATTAAAGAATGAATGAACAAACAAATGAATGAATGAATGAACGAACGGAAGAATAGATGAATGAATAAATGTTTTTAATATTGGTTGATAGTATTTACCTTTATTGTCTGTTTTTGTTCAGCTTCTACATCAAGTAAGTGACTCAGTGAATGATTCTCCCTCATGGTTTGCTTTAGTTGTTCTTTTGTGTTGTCCAGAGTGTTGTTCAGATAGTCTATCTCGTTGTTCTGTCTTTCCATATCTTCCTGCATGTCAGATTCACGAGCACGGCAAGTATCTAGCTCACTTTGTAGGCTGTGAACCAACCGTTTGTTTGACAGCTCCATACTCTTACTATAAAATGACAGAACAAAATGGTTGAGTCTAATTTTACTTATTAGACAATTTAACATAGTTAATCTCATTTTAAAGCTTTTGCCTTGTTAAGAAAGAAAGAAAGAAAGAAAGGAAGGAAGATGGAGATGATGGATGGAAGGAAGGAAGGAAGGAAGGAAGGAAGATGAAGATGAGATGATGGATGGGATAGACCACTGGATAGATAGATGGATGGAAAGAGAAAATTGGTGGATTGTAAATTATTATTTAGTTATCTGGTTGTAGACCATAAAAATTAGTTAAACCAGTTCAAACCTGTTTTGCTCTAGTTCAGCAATCTTCTGTCTTGCCTCCTCTGATGCCGATTGTCCATGCCCAATCTGAGCCAGTTCCAACAAACCTTGCTTTAACTCACTTATCTGGGAGCAAAGTGTAAACGAGGGTTGGTCGTCATTATATGAATCTTCTGGGCCCTCTGGTATACTTCCCTTGGCGACAGCAGATAGAACACTTTGGACAAGAGATCTTGGTGCAGGAGCTTGTGTGTGACATTTCTCTTCTTCATTAACATTCTGATTGTGGGCCTAAATAAGAATAAGAAGGCAAAATAGGATCCAACTGAATAAAAGGGATAAAATGGGATAAAAGGCAAGAAAAGTAACTGATTAGAAGGAAGTGAAAGGAAAGCAAATGAAGTGGGATGAGATGAAGAGTGAGAGGAAAGAAAGGGAAAGGAAAGTAGAGAGAAGATGAAAGAGAAGAGAAGAGAAGAGAAGAGAAGAGAAGAGAAGAGAAGAGGAAAAGGAAAAGGAAGAAAAAGATAAAAGGAATAAAAGGAAAGGAGATTCTCACCTCAAAACAACCCAGCTTTGCTTCTTCTCTAAATCTCATCAAAAGAGCATCTAAAACACCCCAGATTTCACCTATAGCTTCCTGAGCATCAGTTATTTCATTTTGTAATTGAAACATGATACAGTGAGCCTGAGACTGTGTGGCATCCAGCTCATCTTGTTTCTCTAAATAAAGTCCCCTGATAATAGGAAAAAAGACATCAAGTGTTTTCTTTAGTATTAATATAATAGTATAATTAGTATAAATAAGATAATAAAATATTAGGATATTAATATTAGGAATAGGATTTAATGTAATTTTCATAAACAAGTGCACTCTGTGTCTCCGAGTTGCACGCTGAAATTTGATTTTTTGCTGCCATCAATCAAAAATATGAAAGGTACCGACTGATTAGGTTTGATTGACAGCAGCAAAAAAATTAATTTCAGCGTGCAGCTCACACACAGAGTGACATGTTTATGAAAATTTCAGTAACAGTGGCATTTCCACAGAGTGGCTCTTTATCCACTAAAGTTCCAATTGAAATTTAGAAGTTAGTTTTTGTTGAGAGAGGAAAACTAGAGAACCTGGAAAACCCTCAAAGCACAGCAGGAACAAACACCTCTACCCACATATGACACCTAGTCCTAGCAGGACTAAAGTACTGAATTAATATGTGCAAGAGATCACACCAATCCAATCCAACTAAATTTAATCTACTGTCCTAATGCGCAGTATGACAGAAATATAAAATGGTTTCATCAATTTGGAAAACTGGATATGCTTATAATAGGTAATCAAAGTATAGAGAGTTAGTTTGTTAATCTCATAGATACCTTGATAGCTTGACTTCGTGCTCCAATTCCACACATCTGACTGTTGTTTCTCTGAATGTCTCATCCAGTTTCATCCCCTTGTGCCTCGTCTCCTCCAGCTAGAAATAAATGAATCCCATGACAAGAAACTTAGAAACTTTATTTACATGCAGACCAAGCTAACAGATGAGCACAGCAACTTGACATGCAAGCAAACTGGTATATGTACGACACATATCACCTTAAGGAAAAAATTACAACTTCTCCATTTTCTCTTTCATCACTCCTCAATAGCAGAATCATACAATTTGCCATTATGGCAAAGTAGGTTTTAGTTGGATGTCAATCAAAGCATTTTCAAGACATTCCATAGGTAATGTGCCCTGAATTTTTTGGGCCATGGGAACCCTTAGATCGAGGTCTTAGATCTACTTTGGGACGTACTGATTACTGTTAGTTTTAATACCTCTTTTTCCATTTCCCTTGTGGTTTCTTCAAGGGTTCTCTTTTCTTCTTCCATGAACTCGTTAATTTCTTGTTGTTGCACCTGGACCAGCTGCAAAATACACAAGTTATTATCAGGAATTGTTCATCATTTACAGTAAGGTAAGGGGGTTCATTTACTTTAATTTTACAAGAATTAACCATCATCACTGTCACCATCACTGTCATCATAATAATAATAATGATAATGACTTTATTAATGTCTAAAATTCTTCTAGCCAGGCACAAGCACCCTACTAATCGGGGAGACATCACCATAACTATTAACATCACCATCATTGCCACCACCACCACTATCATCATTGTCAGTCAACATCACCCCCACTTTAGACTTAATTGCCATCATCATCATTATAGGTGGGCAAGGGTGGACCACTATCATCATCACCATCATTATCACTAATGGTGGAGAAAAGGCTATCAGCTCAGGCCTCAGCTGCTAGGACCTTGAAAGGGAAGGTTTGTTTTTCTGCCAATCTTAGTTATTTTATTTCTTGATAGGCATTTTATTGTGTTATTGGATATTGTCGCATTTTTTTGTATAGGGAATAGGGGGGGGATCATTGGAACAATAGAACCACCCCTTGTGAGAGGCCTGTCATCTGCCCTGTATATACTACATTAACCATCATCATCACCTCCAGTTGATCCTGATACTGGCAATTTTCCACTCTCAACTTCTCCAGCCGTTCTTCAAGGGAAGTTATCACTCCTTGTTGCCTGGAGATCTCTAGATGACCAACATCTACTTCATGATTCAGAGCATTGACTTGTGCTTTTAAATGCTCGCATTCTTGCATGTATGTTGTGGATTCATTCCTACATGATAATAACATGAAGTATACATAGTATACATGTAATTAATGAGCAAATTATTTCGGCAAAAGAAAATGATTGGGGCAGAAAAAAAAATTGATCATTCATTCATATTATCTATCCATTCACTTTATCATTCATTCATTTTACAAATATTTCACCAGATTATGTTTAAGGAGACCCTGACGGAAAACAAAGAAATCCCAGCGCTTCTCAATCACACTCGTGAAATTGTACAATTTGCCATCATGACAAAGTTCCACTCTATTATAAAGATATAGAAATATAGATAAGTTATAGTGCTTGGGAACGAGGTTATTCCGGGCGAAAGCCCTTGGAATTAAATTCGGAAAAATTAATTTCCGACCTCGCTGGGAATCGAACCCATGACCTTCCGAATTGTACTACCGATGCTCTACCAGCTGAGCTAGAGGTCAGACTGAGAGCAGGCCGGGGTGAAATAGATGTTAGGTAGCGGTAATTATGATGCAAAGATGAGAATATGTGGACCGCATGGCACTAATGAAATACATGAAGATATAGAAATATAGATAAGTTATAGTGCTTGGGAACGAGGTTATTCCGGGCGAAAGCCCTTGGAATTAAATTTGAAAAAATTAATTTCCGAAATGTTTTTTTACAATTTTGTATGTGCGATTGAGAAGTGCTGTAATTTTGATCTTTTCACATTCTTTGTACAGAACTTGAATTTTGTCATCACTAAGCAGAAAGAGAGGGATGCCAGGTCAAAGGATAAGAGGTACACAAACCTTGGCAATCAATAGTCCCCTTCACAGTTCCCTGCGCCATCTTAAAGGGTAGCCTTGCCTTTGCAATGCAGTGAGATGATTAATGAGCTTGCAATGATAGAGACATGTGAATATTTTGTCCAAGGTGTTAAAAAAGGTCTCTATCATTGCAAGCTACCTTTTGAGATGGCGCAGGGAAATGCGAAAGGGACTATTCCTTAATTAGCAAACATCATGTAATAATATTTATGTTCTACCTTGAGCTTTCTAGTTGCTCTTTGAGGCTCTTGCACAGTTGTTCCTTGGCATTGAGAGAACTTGACAGATCCTTGACCTGTAGGAATCAATTTGCAGACTTAAAAAGGTTGTAATATTAATGATAAACCATTAATTTATAATTTTGCACAATAGACCTTTTTAGGCTGGGTATAACTTGTTGACACTCTAGATTGATACTTTTGTGCTGTACTACATAAATAATGAACATAAGAGATATAATTATCATCTAGATTAGAAAACATGACTTATTAGATATCAACAGGGTTCGACATTTCCAACACAAAATTCGAGGAGCTTTTAAAAACTTTTCAGAGTACAAAATTATGATTTTTAAGAATCAATTTTGTTTGGGAATGTATTCTAAACAATTTATTTATAGGAACAACTAACACATTTTCGGTCTTGATACCATCAGAGTAAAATGATGGAAAATAGTATATAAGTTAAAAAGCCTTGCCGTTCTTGGAGTAAAGTTACGATCCAAGTAACGAATACATTGTCAGCAAAAATTAGGTTACAGATGATCATAATAAATAAGGAAATAAGGATAAATAGCATTTATCCAGCAACTTTGCTAATTTCCAAGGGCTTTTCAAATGCACTTAAAAATTGGTTTTGAATTCCAGGGCTTTCCAAGGATTTTAAGGAGTACCATGAACCCTGAATCAAGGGTGGGGTAGCATTAAGTATAGTGCACTCACCTCTCACCTCGGGGTCTTGGGTTTGATTCCCGGGGACCCAGCATCGCATGTGAATAGAGTTTTTTGGGGTTTCTTTTTGGGTGTCTCCCTAGCGGTTTTGACCCACCTCCACAAAACCTTACACACTAAATTGCAATTTCATCAATGAAATACTATAGCTGTGCCCTGACTTTGATTATCCCAGAGGTAGTTCCAGGGTATCAATAAAATTTCAAGATTTTTTAATGATTGAACAAAATGACTTAAGTGCAACTTTACCTTACGCTCTGCTGCAGATTTGAAGTTCTGAGCCTTTATGGCAACAGCCTCAAGCCGCTCAACAACACGACATATATTGTCACTTTGTATCTTATACATCTTAATCTCATGTTCAAATTTTTGGGCCGTCTCACTCAGCTTCAGTACCATTTTCTTCTTTTCACTCAATTCATTCTGTAGTGCCTTGGTGTTTTTCTCACATTCCTCAAGATGTTTGTTTGCTCTAGTTTCTTTTGACGTCAGCTCTTTTTGTATCTTTGCTATCAAGGTTTTCTGGTTATTATTCTCTCTTCGGCAAGCAAAGGAGATGTCATTGAGCTGTGATACCTGCTGTCGACTTTTTTGCAATTCATTTTTTAGCCCAGGAACTTCCCGAACTTGATGCTGAAGTTGGTTCAGCTCTATTTTAAGTTGTTTGACCTCTTCTTTTTTTGCTTCTAGTTCTTTTTCTGGATGAGCTTTGGATTTCTTTCCTCCAGGTTGTGCTTGCTGCAGTTCTCTTTTAAGCTGCTGAATTTCTTTTGTCTTTTGAGATAACTTTTTCTCTAGGCCCAAATTATTTTTGCTCTCCTTGTATCTCTTATCTTTTGCATTTGCACTTTTTTCTTTAGTTCTTGATGGTTGCTACAAAGATAATTGAATCATAATTTATAAAATGGCATATATTGTTAATCAATATGAAAGGCTTGCAGTACAATCACTGTGAAGGTTAAGAGCAAGGTCAAGACAATGGTCCAAAACAGGGTTCAGCATACATGTATCTCGGAGGTGGGCTATAAAACTTTGACTTTATCCCTAGCATATCTGCATTGTGAGTTTTTCAAAGCCATGCAAAATTTTCTCTGTTATTTGTGAAAACCTTACCACTTGTTCTTTCTTGTAAACAGAAAGTTGTTTTTCGAGGTCCAAACGCTCCTTGTTCATCTGTAGTATGATTTGAGTGAATTCTTGGATCTTTCTTTCATAGGATTCTTTTTCCAGGTTCTTCTGCAACAACAACCACTGATTTCAGTGAATACTTTTTCTACACTTTGAATAATAATAATAATAATAATAACAATAATATAATAACTAATAATAATAACTGTCACTGTTAGAGTTTAGTTGAAGCTGGGGTTGGTTACAGTTATCCGTCCAACCAAAGCTTTATTTTTCACTGGGCATCCAGACGTTTACACTGCCTCATAATAATAATAATAATAATAAAAGTAATGATGATGATGATATATGTATCTACTCTATTTAAGATAATAATTAATAATAATAAAATAATAAACAGTAAGTTACCATGCTGTAATCAAGTTAATGTTCAATAATTTAATGTCTTTTATTTAAGGGACCGTCGTAATTGGGGAAACCTGTGACGGTATCCCTTACCTCTGCTTGTGATTTGTTTATATTTTTTATTTTTTTAAACTATGATTTGGTGTGAGGTAAATGCTAAATAGAATAAAAATACAGAATTACACAATATTTGGAAGGCTACCTTAGTGCTGTCTGCAATGTCCTTGAATACTTGCTTTACAACACTCTCAGCTAATAAATCAAGTTCTTTTTCTTCTTCTTTTTCTTCATTTTTTTCTGGACTCTGTTCGACATTTTCAACAACTTCTTCAACTACTGACTTGTGCTTCCCACTATCAGGAATTTCTGTTTCACATTTAGGACTCTCTTCAGTAATTTTCTCCTCTTCAACTTTGGAAAAGCTTAATGGAAGCGAAAAAGGCTTTCTGACCTTTGTATTTTGTTTTAAATTCTTCCTAAACACATGGACGGGAATGCTTAGCCTTTTTGACTTCGTCTTGCTTTTCTGACTCAAACCGCTTGGAGTGAGTGAAGTTCTAACGATTCTTTTCTTCAAGTTACTGAATACTTCTGGTGTTATAACTGTGTTTTCTTGAACAGGCTTTAAGGGTCTTCTACCTGGTGTTAAGACTGAATTAACCTGAGAAGGAATGATGGGCTTACAATATGAAATATGAATGAAAAAAAAACAATAAGCTTACAATTTTTGAAACAGCTGAATTTTTCATAACTAAAAACAAAGTAAAATTTAAATTCACGCTGCCTACAAAGCCATAAGATATCTGTTGAAAAAATAAAGTGTGTTTTTCTCACCCCAGCAAGCAGGTTTTCTTTATCTGACATGAGTTCTGAGATCATTTTTGCTCTGTGTTCGTTGTTCGGGTTCAGCGACGCCATTTTGTTTTGCTGAAAAACTGTTTGAATTTCGGACGCGTTTCTATCGACGATTATGATTGGTTAAAAAAGGAAGAAACTCAGGAATCCCGCTTTTTCCACAGGAAGCCCAATATCCATTTTTAGCAAGTGAACAACAATAACAACAACAGCAACAACAAACAATTTAATAAAAGCAAAAACGAGCAACTTGTTAAGTGATATAAATCTCCATACCTCGCTCCACAAGATGATTTGCTGAAAGAGAAACAACACTGCCACCAAAGATCGCTTTTGAAATTTTAACCGAAAAGCAAAAAAGCAAAAAAAAAAAAAAAAGACTAGACAGTTTTGATAGACATTGTCAAACTATTATTTTAATAGCGTTTCATTTCAAAGTACAGTAAAATCAACCCCGATATTGAATAGAGGAACGTGATTATAAATGGTATTTTAGATGGTTAAAGAAACTTATCGTGCCAACTGACACTCAATGTAATGTTACACGATAGTAATTTGAAGGCTAGACATACTAATATTCTTGATTGAGCTTTACTTCCGAGATAGTAAATGTAAACAGAAAATGAATGGTTACAGTGGTAAACTGGCAATGTTTAAAATGATCTCCTCTCCTCTCCTCTCCTCTCCCTCCTCTCCTAAGCCTATGAAGCCTTTGAAGGATTTGAAAATTAATTTTGAGTTTGCGGCAGCTAAATGAATATCCTAAAACTACTCATTGTTTTCAAGTTTCGCTTTAGCTTTACTCATAATCGCCTTTCACTTTTAGTCTTTGTATTTTCACTCGTATTGCTTGTCTTTCATTTTTTGCTCTTTCTCTTTCACGCAACTCTGCCTTCCCCAGAAACTTCAAATGCTCTTCTTTTGTATGGTAACGTAGTCCTGCGCGATGGTGTAGAAGGCTTTTTGGACGACTGTTCACGCAAGCTAAATGCTCTTGGTTTGATTATCATCATGGCTGGTGACCTAAAAACGAAAGGACCAGATTCAATTTGACAAGGCAAAGCGACAGTAAAGATCGTCGTAGCAACTGAATTCCATTAAAAAAAAAAAAACAGAAAGAAAGCCCTTTTTTCTTCTCTTCTCCGCTCGTTTCATTGAAAGATACAAGTTTTCAGCGTAGTTTTTTGGTTTAGAATGCCCAAACTTTTCTGCCCAAAATGTAAATATTTACTCGTTTCACGCGATTCTAGGAAAATTTACCTATAAGGCAACAAATCGATTAACAATAAGAAATATTTTTTTCTTTAGTTTACATTTTAGATCGAAAATGACAGTGACTTTAATTTTAAAATTCAGATCAATCTATTTTCAAGAAAGTTTTTGTAACTAACTCCTGTACACGTTTTACCGACTACGCATCAAGCATGAAAATAGATCAGATGTGCAAACTTACTTAATAAATTGTATTTAATCCAACCTTGAAACAACCTCGACTCTTTGCTGATCAAAGTCAGTGCACAGCTAACTCACAAATCGAATTCAAATTTAGTTGGGTTTTGCGGCAGAGCGAGGAAAACTAGATACAAAACACTCAACAAACGCTCCGCCGCCCCTCGCATCATGGCGTGTACAGGAATCAAACTTAGAGCAGAGACCCCAGATGACATCTGATGTAAAAGGTAAGAACTTAATCCCCATCGCGGTATTGGTCGTTTTTTGTACCTATGAACGTCTCAACTGGCTTAAAATTCTTAGGAATTTAAAAAATGATAAAGACTAAGTTAGTTTAAGACCGAATGTCGTACGGCACAGATCCGCAGAAACTACAGTACTTACGCGTCCCCTTGAGCAAATATATATCTTCCTCTTGTTCCGTTTCTCCATTCTCCATCGGGAATATCGCTATACTCCCTTAAACGATAAACTCTTTGGTCGTGGTTTTTCGATGAAGTTCCTCCCATATTTTTGCTTGGCACAGAGCGAAGTAAGCACCGATTAAAAAAGGAATGCCCGTCGAAGTCGAGAGCTCGAGAGGTCCAGCGCGTGTGATCCTGGTTTGGTTGCCTGGGCTCGACAGCGCTATCCGATAAATCTTATCATCGCATAAAATTGCTGACTGGCAGTTTCGATTTTCTTATTTTCTTGATGGAAAAGCAAAAAGTAACAGGTGTTCCCCAGTGATCATTTTTATTATCGTTCAGGCAGTGCCAGTTGTCTTATTATTAGTCCTATTTCTAGTTCATTTGTATTCAAAGAAGGAAGGAAGGAAGGAAGGAAGAATAGAAGGGAATAAAGAGGGAAGGAGATAGATAAATATGTATGCAGTAAAAGCCCTCAGGTATCGGGTAGTTGTTTGCAGTGCAACGAAGCTAGGCTACCACTATATTCGCCATTTAAGACGCAAAAATGCTTCTGCTGTGCGGCAGAAACATTTCATGCTTCCAAGACGCATGGAAACAATGTTTCCCAATGTTTCCTTGTTTAGCCACGAAAGTCAACATCCTAAAAGTTTGTTACTTAGCAACGCTAGCTCTATCTTGAAAGTTCGCATGCGCTAACTGCATGATATTGAGTAAACATACCTAGACGATTTTTTACGCCGAATTTGCAGCTTTTATCCTATGATTTTTATTTATTATAAATAACTAGTGATTCTGTTCCGATAATTTGCACAAAAAGAAAGTGCAAAAATTATTTTTATGTTTTGGATCTTCGCACTGGTTGAAGTCCTGTGAAGCCGGTCAGCGGCAAAGATTTTTCAAAGGACTGTATACATTATGTGTCTATAGGTGACTGTGGATCGTAACAGATTTTTACGACTAATTTTCCTCCATTAAGATGCTATTAAGATAAATTGGATGTTATTTGGATGTAACTGGAATGGATTGGTTTTGACTCGGAAACCGCTATGGATTGCAAGTGACTGGAATTTGAATCAAAAAATCTTTTTTGAATTTTCACCTTTTGAAAGGCCATGGATAATCTTAATRTATAGCAAAAACATGCCCAACTTTTAAAATTTATTTTCCTCTTCTAAATGCTCGAATTTTGAGTGTTTTTAAATTTTGGAAAATCTGGGACCGCACATAGATGGAATAAACTGGACTTCGGTTGGCTGGATCGTACGGAACCTAGACGTTTTTTTACGCCGAATTTGCAGCTTTTATCCTATGATTTTTATTTTATTATAAACATTGTAAGCAAAAACATTAAAAACATTATTGATACAAGTCACCGAGGCTCCTTGACTCTGAAAATACATTAAATGGTGTCTTGCAAGATTCCAAAATGGCGTCCATGTTGTTCGGGATATATTCTCAGTGTCTCTCATCTTCAGAATGGTTAAAAACTTAGTATTTGTTTGTTCTTTTGAGTACGTTTGAGTCCCATTTGAGTTACATCTCGGTTGATTTGAGTTCATTTCTCGTGGCAATCGACTCTGCGGTCACGTGATTTCAATTCTGCCTTGTTTTCACAATAGCCTTGTTTTCATGGCAGATTCTCGACTACAACGATAGATAAATAGAAACCCTAGCAGCTTACTGTTACCAAATGATTGGATATTTTGAAGAGAAAAAAATTTCAAAATTTAAAAAAGCATTTCGGCAGTATAGAAAAGCTAAAGGAAAAGTACTATTAGTGTTTCGCATTTTCAGTACAAATCATAGTGACAAAGGCTGTCAACATTTACGATTTATTCATTTATTACAGGTACATTCCGGGAAACGTCTCATCTCTTCTATATTTACATGATTACAATATAAATGTTTTTCTAGCAATACTTTCCTAGCAACATAAAAAATCTCTCTGTAACTGAAAGACTGTAGAATACTGATGTTATAAAAAGATAAGCAAGCTTAGCAACACGAGGCATAGCAGAATGTTTCTCTCTACTCCAGTGCTCTACAGATTCGATATTAGAGACCTTTAGCATCAGGTGGGAATCAGGCGCAGAAACATCCCCGCAAACACGGAGAAACACTCTTCCAGCAACAATTTCCTTGTGACGCCTTGCTAAATATCGAAACTTTGACGGAAAAGGGCGGACGTCGAACTGCAGTTTGAAGTTTGCGGTACCTAGCAAGAACGACGTGTTAAAGGTCTGTATTCAGCCGGCAGGAAGACATACAAGCGACCTTTTTTATGTTGACTTTATCTGAACACATTTTTTTGCGATTTTGCGAGTCGAGCCTTAGATGTAAGTGCATGCAGTCGTTTCCAGAGAAACGTCGAATATCAAATATTAAATAAATAAATAAATGAAATAATATACCAATAAATAACTACATTACATTATAATAACTTTGGAATCAGGTGTTGCAATAGCTGCTTAATTCATATGATACAAACTACAAGAATGATTATAAAACTTTCTTATGGATCGTAATAAAACTACCTACCTAAAAGCTAACGTGATTATAAATGACAAATTCATTCATATTTTCTTAAATTTTTCGTCTACAGTTGAAGAGAATAAGAGAAAAATATCAAATGCCTTGGCGGGAATCGAACAAAGACCGAAGACGTGGGTTCAATTCCCGCCAAGGGCATTTGATATTTTTCTCTTATTCTCTCTTTCATTACTCACACCGAATGCATAATTTATCACTATTATACTACAGTTGAAGATATTACGCTTGAAAATTACGATGGAAAATACCCTAAATCGATAAAAAGTGCAAATTTTTGACTTTCTATTGAGAAAAGATAGTTTTAATTTTTAAAAAAACTTGCAGCACTAAATATTTTCATAACGTAGAGTATAATTTAGCTTTAGCCATTTTTTCACTAGCAACCACGTGACTTTCTGGAAAATTTGTGGTCCACCGCTGTCTTCCTTGATTGCAGGCCCATCTCTTTATTCAAGGGGTTTTTGTCCAGGTTCTCCCGCTTTTATACCTCTGCAAAACCTAACCAGCTAAATTCCAATTCGATGTCAGCGTGAGTTCTTTTTACATTCTTTCTACCCACTTAACCACTTCCTTTCGGAACTGGCTCCAGTCCTCCAGCCCTGTTGAAGCTACATTGTGAGTTGGAATCGCGGGGTCCTGGACGATAGGCAGCTTGAAAGGAACTGAAAACAACTCTCTGGGATAGCTGGAAGACACGTAGTACTCATTCCAAAATACCCTGGAAGAACAAGAAATATGATGAGATAAATAGACGAAGGACACTGCAGCAACGCAGTTACAGCTAAGATTTACAATCTTCCCTAAGGTTTGTCAGCCACTTGAGAAAAACTTTTGCGCATGCGTGCGTTTTAACATGATTTTCAAGAACAACCCTCTTTACCCTGGAAGTAATGTGTTCTCATTTCAGACCACGGGTCATTCTCTAGACTATTATTTTTTATTTAACGGTTAAGGTTTTGCATCACTCAAACAAATAATCTTATCCTCAATAGATTGACATGCACGTGGTCTGAAATAGAATAACATTACGCCAAGTTTTGGCAAAGAAAGAAAAGATATTGCCTGCATTTTGATGTAGAATATAGAGCGTTTTCACTCACGTGACAAGGCAGCAATATTGGTGTACCGAACAATAGAAACTTTCTGCACAGTTTTTGCATAAAAATAGAGTTTAATTCCCAGAGAATAGGAAATGTTTGTTTTCTAACACCAACATGGCTACTGTGATGTCACGTGAAAACACTTTATACTTGGCAAGGACTAGCCTGCGTCACATCCGGAATTTACTTCGTAAATACATCCGGTGAGGATCACATTCGGTTTGATAGTGTTATCCAATGGGAGATCACGTTAGAATGAGCAATGGCTAGCAGCCAATCAGAATCTATTATATATGATCGCGCAATTTTTTTTTTCTGGCAATGTTTCGCAGACGGTATTTACAAAGAAAATTCCGGATGTGACGCAGGGTAGGCAAGGACCAGACGTCCTACAAGCCGGCGTAACCACTTTGACACAATATATTTGGTGGTAGTGAATCAAAAGTATGTCAAACCGTCGCTTCGATACTTAGCTGAACTTTAGTAAGAGTAGACTTACTCTAGATTAACATCGTTGACCATTTCAGCGAACTCGAGGAAAACCTCTTTATCACCAGCAACAGTTTGAGAGATGTATCCACTGGAAAACACAGACAACAATTTAACAAATAGACATCAGTTTTTTATGTGTCTGTCCTCTTATTGACGATAAATTGCGTCATCACATTTTCAAAGTAGTGTGGATTCACGAGGCGTAGCCGAGTGGATCCGCATACTACTTTGACAATGTGATTCTTTTGTCTTGTCCTCCACAGGGTTCGTGCTGAGGTAACCACTTAAAATTCAAGAAAGGACTATTCAAGGAGTATTCAAGGACCCAAAAATGAATCTCAAGGAGTATGTTCAGCTAACTTAGCCAAGGTTTTACACGGTAGTTGCACATGGCCGACTTTCAGATTTTCAAATCTTTCTAACTAGATCCATTTCAGAACCATGCAAGTAATGATCAAAGCAAAAATTCAAGGAGTTTCGCTAAAATCGTAAAATTCAAGTGCCTTTGAAAACGTGAATTAAATTCAAGGAGTTTAATTTAAGGAGGAGCACGAACCCTGCCTCCAAATCGAGCTCCTTTGACGTCACTCGCAAGTGGTCTATAAACTAGGACGTGAAATTACGACGTATATTCAAAAATACCCGGATTCGTGTTGGCGGGGCCTGAAAGTCATTCTGGCAGACTTACTTACTTACCTCTGAACAATTTGATAAGCAGCTACGAGGAGCAGAGATAACAGGTACTGGCCAGGCTTGGACTCGGGGTTTTTCCATGGGATAGAATTACACCAGGCTCGAACAGCTCGAATCAAATCTTTGCACTGAAAGCAAACGACGAGTCAGTATTGCCAAGAAAAATCTACATCTACATTCATTTAACCTACAATATCTTGGGATATTGATTCAATATATATATTGTTCGTCTTTATACTAGATTTCTTTGTTAAGAGAAGGGTCAATGGATGGATGGATGGATGGATGGGTGGGTGGGTGGATGGATGGATGGATGGATGGGTGGGTGGGNGCTTTTGTTATGGGTGTGTTAATGAATTAGTAATGGATTATTAATGGATAAATAATGTATGGTTGGACGGACGGACGGACGGACGGACGGACGGACGGACGGACGGACGGACGGATGGATGGATGGATGAATGAATGAATGGATAAATGAATGGGTGGATGGGTGAATGGATGGATGGGTGGATGGATGGATGGATAGAAAAAGGGTGGACACAGGGAAGGGAAGGGTAAGAAGATGGGAGGGAGGAAGCGAAAGGGTGGTGGGGAGAAGAGAGGAAGGTTAAACTAACACAGCATGTTTTTGTTTTGATTTTTAATTTACAACAACAGGTTAAAGGAAAACGCTTTCCATTTTTGTCGTTTTGCTTCTATCCTATCCATCCATTCCTCCTTCCATTCAATCTTCTCTTTCACCTTCATTTTATCACATTCTCCCTTCCTCCCTTCTCCCTCCCTCCCCTCCTCCCTTCCTCCCTCCTTCCTTTTCTTTCTTCATTCACACATCAGCTATATATAACTCACCTTCTCTGGTTGGTTGGCGATAAACTCAGTTTGTCTCTCACAACCACAAAGAATATAACTAAAATAATAATTTTTTAAAATTACAAAATGTACAAATGTATAGCTCGAAAAGCGTGTGTCTGGGGTTGGAGGTTGGGAAGGAATGGGTTCTGGTACCACTAGGATCCCCCCTTTATTACTCCTCTGTACACAGAAGATTTCTCACAGGAGCTCAATCTTCGAAAAACATGATTTATCACTACTCGTATACATTTACTATAAAATACTGACACAAAAAACAAGCTTGGGCTCCCTGTGGTTTTTCTATGTCTAAGGGCTCCAAGTGACTTACTATGGTTGAGCTTCCTCTCCCTGAGTCAAGCACATCTGATACAATCCCTTGAACCCATCAAACGGTTCCCAGTCATTGGTAGGAATCAGCACCACGTTCACATCATCACACTTGAACACCACAGCAGACGAGGTCTCGAGGAAGTCTGTACACGGAGGCAGTTTTGGTTCGTCCTCGTTTTCTCCACCGTGTTGACTGTTTTGCTTCAACAGGGTCTTGGTTGTGTACACGATGGCGGGTAACCAGCTCTTGTGTTCAGTACGTGGAAGATCTAGATAGAAATTGAATCCATACAAATTATACTTAGGCCCCGTCCACACGTATCCGGAAATTTTTGTATCCGCAAATTATTTTTTGCGGATACGAAAATGTTTGCGTCAACACGCAGCGTATTCGAAACGTATCCGTTTTCGTAAAATTTGCGGATACGGACACAAAAATTTACGGACACGTGTGGACGCAACCCGTATCCGCAAAAAAAAAAAAATTGCGGATGCAAAACTTTCCGGATACGTGTGGACAGGGTCTTATAGACCCCTGAATGCAGCTCAATGGACCAAATTCACATTTCACATTTCAGACCACGTGTCATTCCCTTGAGAATAAAATTCTTTGCTTGAGATTATCCATATTCATGCGTCTTCTCATGCAAAACCGTTAAACAAAGAAATAATACTCTGGAGAATGACACGCGATCTTAAAATGGAAAACATTACGCCTGAGCGTGCCCGAGCCGAGGAGGCCTATTTGGAAGGCAAAACAATACGTTTCCAATCCTCAGGAGATTGAAATTCTTTTGTCTTGTCCTTCAAATTAAGCTACTTTGACGTCACCTGCAAGGGGTCTATTGTGCAGCGCTCATGGTACGAACGTGACGTGCCTTGACCGTGACGTTGCCGTGTCCAAGTAACCTTACTGGCTAAAGAGAATTCGTACTTTCAAATAGCGACGTAATAAAGCAGATTTTTTTAGGACTGCATGGACTACGACGGTTCGTTATTTCGGTACCGCTGCCATGATGGTGCTGCGTCCGAGCATTTTTACACAGGGAGCCCAATTTAGATTAAAGTGAATGGTAAAAATAAAATCGGGAAAACTAAATAACAATTATTTTTTTAATTCGAGGTCAAGATAATGACCTCCGTAATACGAAAGAGTAAAGAAGATCGATAAAAAATGTACTAGAACATTTTTTCCGTGCGCCTTCGTTTTCCTATATAATTCCCCTATGGTATCTAATGTCGCTCTTATGGAGCTCTTATGTATATATGCTGTTTAATCTGAATTGAGCTCCCTGTGATTCTTACTGGCTGAAATGCATTCATATTTTCAAACAGCCAAGTAATAAAGCTGATTTTTTATGTGGGTTATAGAAAAGCACATGGTACAGCACTACCATACCGTGACCGTGACGTTATTGTATCCAATTCCAAGCAATTTTATTGGATGAACAGTGATTTTGCGCACTGTGATTGGCTCAAAGGCTGTGGACTATTGTTTACCGTGACCGTGTCGTGTTCCCTGTCGTTTAGCTGTCATTCAAAATCTGATGTCATTACGCGAGTCAAAGTATTAGTTCGTATTTCGTATAAAACGTCCGAAAGAAAGTTAGTTTTACCTTTAATGAATATGGCAAGGTCAACTTCTTTGACACCGTGTGAGGTTGTTCCTTGACCTGCATTACCGACCAATGATATCCGGCTGATGTTAAATGGAAGATTATTCTGGGAAATTCACAAACAGTGAGCAGTGAGCAATTTACTTTATCAGTGACTTTATTTTTAATCTTCTGCACAACCATCATAATTACCATCATAATCACCATCATAATCACCATCATAATCACCATCAATCATCAGCAACATCATCAGCAGCATTATCATCACAATCACCATCTCCATCATAATGATCATCACCATCTCCATCATAATCATAATCACCATCATAATCACCATCTCCATCATTATCACCATCACCATCACCATCACCATCTCCATCATAATCATAATCACCATCATAATCATAATCACCATCATAATCATAATCACCATCGCCATCTCCATCATAACTATCATCACTATCTCCATCATAATCATCATCACCACCATCATCATCACCATCATCACCATCACCACCATCATCATCACCATCACCATCTCCATCATAATCATAATCACCATCACCATCATCATCACCATCACCATCACCATCTCCATCATAATCATAATCACCATCTCCATCATAATCATCATCATCATCTCCATCATAATCATCATCACCATCTCCATCATAATCACCATCGCCATCTCCATCATAATCATCATCACTATCTCCATCATAATCATCATCACCATCATCATCACCATCATCATCACCACCATCATCACCATCATCATCACCATCACCACCATCATCACCATCATCATCACCATCAATCATCAGCAACATCACCATCAATCATCAGCAACATCGCCATCATCCTCATTAACTCTAAACTAAGGATATATTACCATGAGAAAGTTCTCCAGTTGATCAGCTACTTGTTTTTGTTTTGTCAATTCTTCGGCATCAGGATGGGTCTTCTGGATGAGTTCCTTGAGGTTCACATGTTTCATTGATCCCTTCCCTTCCTGAAAAACAAGAGTTAGAAATGAATTGTGTGTTATGGTATGCAATTATGTAGTGTAGTGTAGTGTGGGGTGCTGTGGTGTAGTGTGGTGTGGTGTGGTGTGGTGTGGTGTGGTGTAGTGTGGTGTGGTGTGGTGTGGTGTAGTGTAGTGTGGGGTGGTGTAGTGTAGTGTGAGGTGGTGTGGTGTAGTGTGGTGTGGTGTGGTGTGGTATGGTTTGGTGTGGTGTGGTGTGGTGTGGTGTGGTGTAGTGCAGTGCAGTGCAGTATAGTGTAGAGTAGTGTAGTGTAGTGTAGTGTAATGTAATGTAGAGTAGTATAGTGTGGTGCAGAGTAGTGTAGTGTAGTGTAGAGTAGTGCAGTGTAGTGTAGTGTAGTTCATTGTCAAATAGCACCTACCCCAGATCCATCAATATTGTCTTCTACAGAGGAAATGTAGTTTTCCTTGTCTTCAATCTCTTCCTCTAGGGTGTGAATAGCAGACTCTTTGTCGCTTAGTTCCTTTTCTCTGGCAGAAATCATCTCATCTTGATCAGCAATGATTTTATCTTTTTCAGAACAGACACAGGAAAGTTGATCAATCCTACAAAAGAAAAGCCAGCTGAGTGCTAAAGCGCTCAAGGCACAGGAGAGAACCAACAAGCAACTATATCACATATGACACTGAGCCTGGTGAGACTCGATCCCGGGTCGAATTGGTGAGAGGCTAGTGCTTTCACAGCTATGTCACCCGTGCTTACCTAAAGTAAGATCAAGCATGTGAACAGTTGCATGTTTCGTCACGCTGGAAAAAGACCACTAGAATGACCAGAAACGTCATCTTTGCACCAAATTCTCAATGGTATGCCAAACGTGTAAGTAATTACTTACCAGTATTTTTCAGTAGAACTCTTTGTCTGTGCATTAATCTCCCTCAGCTTCGCAATGCTTTGCTTATCAGAGTCAATCATGAGAGGGTCATAAACTTCATTTGCATTATGAATAATCAGCTTCACACTCAGTAGTTTCTCTGCATCAAGGAATGGACTGTAGGGACTTATGGTCTAAAGAAAAAAAGGAAAAAGGAAAAATGAGAGGTTTTGAGCCTGATTTCTCCACTTCTACTTCTTGACATTAAAAGAATCATTTAAGGAAAAGAAAAAAGTGAGAATGAAAGGAAAGGTTAAAATGAAGAAAACGTGAATGAGGAAATGGGAATAATAGAGAAAGGAGAGAGGAAGGGAAGAGAAAAAGAAAGCAGTTAAAAATGGAAAAAAGAAAAGAAAAATGGGAAAAATAAAAAGGGGAAAAATCATGAAAAGAAAATGAAAATACAAAAATCAATAAATTGGACAAAATAACTGAGTTTAAAGTAAAGATAACATTCGTATCAAAAACTAATATGATAAACATTACTAAATTTTATTCCCAGGATGTGGTAAAAATAATGTAATTATTTATAATTAAATCTAGCATAGCATTAAAATATCAATGGCATGATGAAATTGAAAATGAATTAAAATAAAAAATTTGTTTTCATTTGATTGAATAAAATAAAGTAGCTTGAAATCCCAAAACTTCTAGAAACAAAATTATGTTTTATTAATGAAATATTGTCTGCTATGCTACCTGTTTATGTCATCTCAAACAATAACAATATTGGATTTAATACAGAGAGAGTGCATAACATAATAAATCCGTGAAAAAGTTAACTAAATAAAATTATACAAATTAGTGCAAAGTGTAGTAGGTATACGGTCTACTGGGGTCTATTGAACTTACTAATTGGTACTAATTTGTGCAATTTCTTACAAAGTTTTTTGCTGATATATGGTATACACTCTAGCAAGTTTGTAAATAGCTTTATTTAACTAAATCTGAAGTTTGACAGCTACTGTCAGTATTTGTTTAAAAAGACAGTAGGTGTTGCATCATGGCAAATCAAATTGGACTGTTTTTAGTATATTTGTAATGATTATCCTTTTGGATTGATGAATGGATGGATGGATGGGATAGGTGGATAGATGGGATAAATGGGATTGAAAGGGTGGAAAGATAGAATGGATGGCTAGATAGATGGATGGATGGGTGGATGGATGGGTGGATCGATGGATGGATGGATGGATGGATGGATGGTTGGATGGATGGATGGATGGATGGATGGATGGATGGAAGGATGGATGAATGGAGGGATAAATGGATGAATGTATGGATGAATGAATGGACAAATTAACAGCCCATGAATGGTGGATAGATAGATGTCTGTCAACAGTTCACAAATAGCTCATCTTATAAGCTCATATTATAACATTATACAAGACCAAATCATATCAGCTGTGCTGTATATTTAGTACATCATGTATAAATAAATGTTATAATAATAATTATTATTACTACTACTTACATCACTAAGCAACAACGGTGTGTTAAGGATAATTTCTTCATTGCTAAAGCAGAAAGCACTGTGGCCAGGGCTATCCCAGGAATTGAGTGTCTCACTCTTATTACCATCCTTGTAGCAAAACACCATCACACTCCACAGAACTTTCATGTAGTAAGCACTGTCACCCATCTCTGAAAACTGACTCTCAGGATCAAACTGAAGCTTGAAATCCAGCTTTTTCTGATCTTGCGAATCCGCCCTGAAAGATAATGGGCACTTTTTGATATCCTTGAGTGCAAGTGATGATCTGAGATTTTCTGGAGGTGACCAATCTTTGGTGTCAAAACCAAGATAAAAATATGGTATAACGCTGGTGATTTTCACACCAACTGGAACAGTTCCACCTTTGGCAATGGACCTGAGATCTCGAGTGCGTAGAAATTTCTCAACTCCAAACGTTTTTGAGGGGTTGGCTTCATGGAAATGGTGTGTGACTCTAATTTCCTTGACCTTCGGGATGTAAATGGAAAAAGTGACATCAAATCGTAAAAGACTTGAGCTTTCATTGCGCAGATAAATGGCAGTATGATCCTTCTGCGGTGTTGAATTTTGAGGATTCTCTCCCCTTGGATACATCACGATACTCCATTCAGTATCAAACAGAGAGAACTTAGAGCTCATAGTGAAGTCTGTCCCTGGGACAAGGTTGACTACCATTTTGTCTTCAAATGTTGTTTGAACCAGTTTGCATTTCACTTCCAGGAGGAGACAATTGTCGTCTAAGAAACCAGAATTAGGCTTTTCTATGGTTTCCACAGCTATTAGTTTACTCCATCCTATACCAAAACCAGCTCTAGGGAACTCATCGTCTTCGTCCAAACTCCCAACTACAGTTGACAAAGAAGGATCTTTGGTGTTCAAGATGTCAACTGAAACTCTGATTTTGCATTTCATTTTTCGATTCTGTTCACCTCCTCCCAGCCACCTCAAAAATGCCCCCAAATGTCCTCCTTTCACTCCACTCTGCAGGCGCCAACGGTGTCCAGAGAACGTGAAAGGCTTGGAGAACACTGCTTCACTAACGTCACTGAATTCTTCAATGATAAAAGTCAATGCCTGAACCCCATCTTCCAGGATTCTTGTGTTGTGAAGTCGAAGTGCCATGTTTTTTTTCCTTTTCTAATTTAACAACACCAAAATACCTYACAGAAGAAAAACTAATGCACGAAACTATACGAAAGGCATCAAATAATTCGTCAAAAACACAAATAAGATATTTTATACGTTCTAAGAACGAAAATCAATACGAACGAAATAGTACTCTTAGAGTATAGGAATACGTGCCTTTACGAAGCTTACCTGCTAAAGGTTTTCTAGAATAAGCTGATTAAACAAAGCTTGGAGCTTGGTTTCAATGTTATTGTGATTAAATATTAATGAAAGTTTACTCCACTTGACTGTTTGGCATAAAATTCTCTTAAACTTATCTGTTTATGCAGAGCACGGATAAAATATTTTCATGTTTTGCGACGAAAATTATCAACCAATAACAATAGAAATAAACTATGATGAATTATAAGTTGTATTGTTTTTTATCCTTTTGTATCTTCGTTGCATTTCAACGCCAATTTGAAGTTTTTTTCTGCTTGTTTTGAACCAAAATTGCGTTATTTTGCTTGGCATTTGGCCAGACATCTTGTACCTGTTCACAGACAACCCACACTAAAAACTCCATCTTCTATACACCTTTGTTGAAATGAGATTTTGTTACTTCTAGTTAAGAAGCATAACGACTTTTTTCTTTGGTAATAACTGCATTTATCGATCATTAAAAGAGAAAAAATAAATGAAAAAACATCATTTCGATTGCGACTAGCGTCCGCCATTTTGAATTCTCCGCCAATTATATAACCGCTGTACGGAAGTATTTGTAGGCGCACATTTATCACTGCCACCAAAGTTTGCGAAAAAATCCTAATTTTCAGTAACCTCATATGATCATTTTTTATAAGCTTTCGATGGGAAAAAGAGATACTATTACAAATCAATCTTGAAGACTATCTTAATTTCGTCAAAGATATCTAGCGTAGTGTGTCCGTTCAAGGGAGGGGGGTAGTCACGTGGGAATGTTGAGGCTTTTCTAATAAGGGGCTGTTTATATGGAGCGAGCCAGCCCGGTAAGCGGGCTAGCCCGCTTGGCCGAGATGAATTTTGGATTGCGTTTATATGGGAAAATTCAGCCCGCTTATCGGGATGAAATCAGTCATGTGATCATCCAGCTTCGTTAGCATGCGAACTCGTCCCGCGAAAATAAAACATGGCGGCATGCGCAGTAGGATCAAATCCAGCCCGCTTACCGGGCTGGCTCGTTTATATGGGAATTTTTCCATCCCGCTTGCCGAGATCTCGGTAAGCGGGCCAGCCCGTCTCCCCATATAAACACAAAACATTTTTTACAACGAAAAGAGGCCGAGCCGAGATCTCGGCAAAGCGGGCTAGCCCGCTTACCGGGCTGGCTCGCCTCCATATAAACAGTCCCTAAGACAGTCAGTTAAGGAGAAAATTTCATGATAGCATTTTGCATATTGGACGTTTAAAAACGCAATCAGCACTACTAAGCTCAACTGATCCTTTTTAATTAAAAGGAAAAAGTCATGAAAGAGTACAAATTCATAAAAATAAAAAATAATTTAAAAAATCGACCAAGGCCGTGATATTTCAACTCTTGGACTAAGTGATCGGGAATGGTTGGAATTATATAATAAGTATCATACTTTATTATTAATATATCTTTATAGATTATTATATAATGATATATTATTAATCGATTAATTAGATATTACACTACCACTCGGCTGAACTTGGATGAATTCTCTCCCTGCATGCATCGGTGCGTTCCAGTCCCTGCTTGACCAGCTTGCTTTGGTCGCTTGCTTCATCCCCTTCAGTTGTCCCAGAGTGTACCAGCGCTCCCAGATTTATGCATCACCTTCTCTTTAGTGCTCCTATCTGTAATCGGAAACCCTCGGAATTTTTCGACTTCGGAACTGCATCGGATAATCGGAACTTTTTGAAATTTGACGTAACCTACACATATACCCATACGAACATAGCAACTATATATTAATATGGGGAGGGTGAGGTATTTGGATTTTTTCCCAGCGAGAAACCATTTCCGATCAACTTAAGTCTCTAAGCATTGAAACACGGACCTCCAGGGTTTGAATCCCGGTGCTCTTTCCACTGAGCTACCTTGGTCGCTTGGAAAATAGTTGTTAAAGTTTTAGCACTTATCCCCACACGAATAATGAACTCACTTGTAAATTGTTCAATGATGGGCCACCAAATACCAACGGAAGATGTGAATTGTAACGAGACTTTTGCCATGGAAACAGCAACTTAATGTCGAAACTTGCAAGAAAGATAAGCCCTTTTCCCAAGTGCATAATAGCGAGTCTATATGCGAAGATATAAGCTTAGAAGTTTTGTCTTTGACAGGCGACTGAACATTATAATATGCCATTTCAGGGGCGGATCCAGGAATTTTAGAAAGGGGTGACCATTACAAAGGTTTTACCAGATATTCAAGAAAAAGGGGGTGACTGTTACTAACTATATGCTGAAAAACTTTGAGCAAAAGGGGTGACTTGTCACCTATTTTACCAACCCTGGATCCGCCCCAAAATTAAAAAAAAAAAAAACGCTTTTATATTTCGCACATTCGTTAGCCTCATTAAGATGCACTTGGTCACGATATATTAGATCAGAAAGGGGCCTTTTGGCCACTATGCGGAGCGAGCAAGGGACTGGATCGAGTTTTGAATTTCAATTTTATCAGTGAGTATAAACATTATGTCATTAGAAAGTATCTCAATATATATTAGAAAGCCTGTGGCAAAGTTGAAAATGTGTCGTTCAAAAGAACAGAGCCTTTAAGCGCGTAATCACAATATCGTTTCCACGGCAACAGTGCTGTGAATATTCACGTTCTTCGTCAATATTCGGGCGGAGATTAGTGCTAAAACTTTAACAAGTATTTTCTAAGCGACCAAGGTAGCTCAGTGGAAAGAGCACCGGGATTCAAACCCTGGAGGTCCGTGGTTCGATGCTCAGAAATTTAAGTTGATCGGAAATGGTTTCAAAAAACCTCTCCCTCTCCCCAATAATATATAGTTGCTATGTTCGTATTAGTGTATATGTAGGTTACGTTCAAGCAAGCTCCGAAGCTCAGAAATGCCTATTAAAGCTAGAAGCAACTAAAGATAAGTCGAAGCATAAATATGGGAAGTATTGTGGGAGCGCTGTTACACTCTGGCCATGCGAAGGGAATCAGTTAAAGCCAAGCCACCCACCATAAAGCAAGCAGGGATTAATAGCAGGGATGGAACCAATGTACCGCGATGGAATTCATCGAAAGTTCATGCGAGTGGTAGTGTAGGGTAGTAGTATCTAATTGCTTAATGATAATATATATTAATGGAAGTAATCATATGCATATAATAGTAATAAATAATAATAGTCTATAATATAAAGATAACCATTTCCGATCACTAAGTTCAAGAGTTGAAATTTCACGGCCTTGGTCGAATTCTTTTCTCGATTTTTTCCAACTTTTGATGAATTTTTTACTCTAATTTACAACTCATTTTTTCAACGATTTAAAGGTAACAACATATAGTAAAGATTGCATGAACTTGATGATAAGATCATTGAAAGTTTCTTTATTATTTTCGCTAATTCTCTTTTTTAATTCACTTTTGCTTATCTTTCCTTTCTTGCTTTTTCCTAATCATTTATTCAACATTCCTTTCTTCCTTTCCCCCCATTTATTTTGTTTCATTTTCCTTCATTCTTCTTCTTAATCGACTGACTCGATACCAAATAAATTTAGGTCCCGTCCACAGCAACGCTTTTTCGTTTGAGAACGCACACTTTTCGATGTGTTATCAGTTTCAGCTCTTTTTTTTTTTTTTTTTTTTTACAGCTTTCCATGTTCGTCTACCCTGGTCCCAGAGGTTTCTTTTAGTTTTTTCCTCTTTTTATCTCTGTCTGAAATTCGCCGCGAAGCAATTTCAGAGTAAGGAAAAAGAAAAAAAAGAAAAAAAAAAATACACAAAACGGAGCGGCCACTTTCAAAGAGACTAAAAGGAAGGGAGAAACTACGAGAAGCCTCTGTGAGCAGCGGGGTGAAGTTTGAGTTTCCGGGCGCGTTATTCTCGCAGAGCCGGAACTTCAACTGCTAGACGAAGACAGTGACCCCCATTTTTTTATTTGCTCTGATTTTATTTCTAAAGCTTTTAAAATAAAATCTGAAGATGGGATCTTTTGCCAAGCGAACATCCTTAATTGAAACACTCTCCAGTTAGTTTTCATATTTTATTGGTACATAAATTGAATAGAAATAGGCTTATGATTTACACACCTAATCAAGTGGATACTACATACTAATGAATATTACCTAGATTTCTCACTTAAGATTATTGTCTCAAATGAGAACAACACCTGGTGGGTTCCAGTGCCTCTCAGTCATCTGGTCCACAGGGAGCACTGAGGATTTCTAATACTCATGGTTCCATGGTAGAACAATAGTGGAATTTAAAACCACTTGTTACATTAAAGCATGGTATTATTTTTTTTGGTAACTTCATTTTTTTAAGCAATTACTCAATATACATATAACAAATTCAGCTTAGGTAAGATCTACTCTCCATATAAAATCCCTAAAACAAACTCATTTACAGGGCCGGGTTGTTCAAAGCTGGATTAGCGCTAATCCAGGATTAACTCTATAGGTCTTATTAAGAGTTAACCCACGATTAGCACTAATCGGGCTTTGATCAACTGGGCCCAGGGTAAAGACTTTCTTGGAGAAAAATAGAGAGGAAATAACTAGATAAGCTGATGCATATTATGATATAAAGCATCAACTAGACAAGCTGAATGTGTGTAGATTTATCAAGAGATTTACAGTGCCTATTACTCCTCCATATGGAGGAATATTCCTATTGTATAGAACGAATTAGATGACAGCTAATGACAACAGCTGTAAATAAGACACATTCTTGTAAACTATGGTAAAACTAGTACAGAATCCTGTACAAACACTCAAAAGCTGCCATTTTAGGTTTTGGACAACACCAAAAATCTACTAAGTAATCAAGCATGGCAACGACTGTTGATCGTACACAAACTGTGTTGTATATTGGATTATAGACTACAAATTGCATAACATATTCCAAGTGCATAAATATTTAAAATTTAAATCAAAAGAGATGTTGTGAATTATTTTTTACTTGTGGGCCTGAGCTATCCAATGGATAAATTCGACTTATTCAGTGGATAAGTCTAATGCTTTAAAACAATAAATTTATCCATCGGATAGTACTACCCACTCTATACAGCCAGGTCCACAAATATAATAGAATTTTTAAAAACGTGCAGCTAAATAACTTTTAAGGATCATACTTTAAGTTAACATGATGTTAATTAACACAGCCATGAATGAAAGAGGTTATAGTCAAAGTAATAAAAAAAAACCCCAAAAAAACAAAAATGTATAAGAAAAAACATCAAAACTTTTAAACAAAAAATGAAGAAAAAATAACAATTTTACACGTTACCATATGGTAACGTGTAAATTAAACCTAAAAACCTCTGGTAAGACAGAGAAGCTAGTTAGAGTATTACTTTGGCCATACTGCTGTGTGACCAAACGTGTATGGAAGACATTGATGATAATTTATGAATACAACTCGTTGTACAAATGAGTAATGATATAAATTTGACAAGAATAAACTTAAAGAAGGGCTTACAATGATATTTTATAAGAAAAATGTTGGTTTTCATTTCATTTTTGCAAGTGTTTCACTTATGCAACCCTTGCTCCAGGGATTTGCTTGAGAACCTGAGAATGACAAACATTAAAAGTAGTTAGTATAAAAATATTGAGAGGAGAAGTGTAAAGAAAAATTTGAAAGCTAGAACCTTGAAATGTTATGGATTAAACCTGAAACAACCTCTGGGCTGATCAAAAGCAGGGCACAGCTAACTGACAGATCAAACCCTGAAACAACCTCTGGGTTGATCAAAGGCAGGGCACAGCTAACTGACAGATCAAACCCTGAAACAACATCTGGGCTGATCAAAGGCAGGGCACAGCTAACTGACAGATCAAACCCTGAAACAACCTCTGGGCTGATCTAAGTCAGGGCACAGCTAACTGACAGATCAAACCCTGAAACAACCTCTGGGCTGATCAAAGTCAGGGCACAGCTAACTGACAGATCAAACCCTGAAACAACCTCTGGGCTGATCTAAGTCAGGGCACAGCTAACTCACAGATCAAACCCTGAAACAACCTCTGGGCTGATCTAAGTCAGGGCATGCTGACTCAGAGATTGAACCCTGAAACAACTTCTGGGCTGATCCAAAGTCATGACACAGCTAGAACTCTCAGATCGAAACTGGAATTTAGCTTGTAAGGTTTTGCAGAGGGAGAAAAATGTGAACCTTTGAATTAAGGAAGACCTAAGAAACTCTACTCTTCACAAGAGGTGAGAGGCCAGCATATTGGAGAAAATTGGAATTTCCAGAAAAATCCTCTGTGGGTGGGTGGGGGACTACACATTATCACATTATATTATAAATAGTTTGGTTGTTTCTTCATGTCTTTAGCTAGTGATTATTTCATTCTTCATGGCATAATCAGGGAGATATTTATAGATAGTAAATGACTATTATTTTGACTTACTCCAGACAAGTCAATACCAGTCAGGGCTTGTACTGAAGGAGGAAGCTGTCCAATCAGCTTAGAGACCTCACCAGTCACACTGTTACCATCATCATTAATGATAACAACATCTTCAATCTTCGACAAGGGTGCAGAAACTTCAGCAGCAATCTATAAAGAAATCAAGGAGGAAGTGTTGAGTTTAAGTAAAAATCAAGGCCATGATACTATATTGTAAATTATCAAGACCAAGGCCATGTTATAGCTTCAGCAGATAAAATAGCCAAGGTCTTGATAATTGAGGGAGAAAAATGTCTCGATAATTATTGATAATTGACCCTAGGTTTTGACATACATATGTTTAATGCTTTAGTGGCCTTCCATATATGCACCCATAGGCCACTTCAGTGGCCGAGATCGACAACAAAAATATCAGCGACACTATTGGCTACTTAAAAGATTTTTCTATCTTCATACATTTAAGTATCTTCCTTTTTATTACCACAGACTTGGATATTAAACATCTGTGTAGCTCTCAATTTTTTGTGTGTGTGGTCATTGATAACATAAATTTCCATATAACTAAATCAAAATCAATCATGGTGGTGATTATGGATGAAGACTCCATTTCGGGTTGGTCACAGAACCCACCCCAGTGATTTCGGGCCTGAGCACTAAAGGGTTAATATAAATAAGATTACAGAAAAAACTGAATACAAGTCATTTTTGATTATGATATTTTAGGTTTCAACTCAATGTAAAGCACCTTGATTATATCTTATAGAAAGGGTGCTATATAAATCATAATCATCATAAATCATTATTTTCTAGATGGAAGAAAATATAATAATCTGTAAAATCTAAGGAAAATACCTTCGGCAAAGATTCCAGAATTAGAGCAGTCATAGCGGCATCACCATACATCTTGTATGCAGCTGCCTTCTGCCTCATACGCTCTGCTTCTGCTTTACCAATGGCTTCAATAGCTGCTGCCTCGGATGCTCCAACCATCTACAATAACAAAGATGAAGAATTTGAGCATAGGAAAACATTTCGTTTATTTCATGGGTGACAGGTCAGGCACGTTGCTAGGACCTTGAAAGGAAAGGTTCGTTTTTCTACCAATCTTAGTTATGCCATATCTTGATAAACATTATATTGCGTTATTGTGTAGATCCAGAAATCATCCATACCCACCCCACAGAGGAATTTGGAATTTCCGAAGAGTAGGTGGGTCAGAGAAAGAACAAAAATTACAGAGTTTGTATGGAAGAAAATTGGAATTTCTGGGGGGTAGGGGGTGTCTTAAAAAAATTCCTCCGTGAGTCGGGTATGGATAATTTTTGGAACTACACATTAGACCTTTTTGCATAGACGTAGAAGAACAAATAAATGCCAAAATACAGGTACTGTATGGAAGAATGGAAGAGGGACCTAAAAGAAGAAGTCTAAGACATAATTTGCTCACCTTAATCCTCTCAGCATCAGCTTGCGCAGTAAGGACAGTCTGTGTTCTACAAGAAAAAAAATGCTATGACAATGTAATTACGACACATAAAAAGCCAATTGTCACAGATAATAAATGAAGTAATACACCTATATCATGCTAAGTGGGAAATATTTACAAGATTTGATTATCGAGAATAGAAATTACTAACAACTTTTCACATCGAAATTTGTGAAATTGAAAAGTTTGGTAAAGATAGCCCTTAAACTGACAAAGATATGAAACTAAGCATTTTTGTAAAGAAAATTACTGTATGTTGTCACGCATAACATGTTTGGTTGGCCTTGTTATCAGGCTGAACACCACATTTCTTTGTAAAATTTCAAGAAAATACTTACTCTCAAAAGTGCATATCCTTGTCAGTTTAAGGGAAATCTTTACTATTAACAATGTGACAAATGTTATAGTAAACTCCCTTTTCTGATAAATCAACTATTATTATAATGTCAAGCTATGGGTGGATGGACGAATTGCTGAATGGATGGGTAGGTGACTAAGTTATGGATAGATAATGGGTGAATCTATGTATGATGGTTGGATAATGGATGGATAAATAAATGATCAAAAAAATGGAAAGACAGATGGGTGAGAATATGGTTGCATGATGGATCGATAAATTAATGATAGATGAATAATAATTATTATTTATTACCTTTGTCCCTGAGCTAGCGTTTCAACCCTGAAGCTCTCAGCCTCTGCAGGTCTTTTGACAGTAGCAATCAACTCTTTCTCTTTACGTTGAATCTCTTTTTCCTCTACTTCAATCTGTTTTCTTCTGTCTACAACTTCAATCTGGATTTCTTCTGACCTGATCTTCTGCTTCTCCTTAGCAGCCTAATTGAACAAGCAATAATTGATCAATTTAGGAATCTCATTATTCTTTTTTTTTATTTTTCATTTTTGGCCTTAACATTACTGGCCAAAATCACCAGCAAAGCAAAGATTCATCTTGAGTTCCAATTTTTGCCAGACACTGTCCAATATTATATTACTCGCTGTTATTTTAAGCCCTGTTTTAAAATTCCCCTCGAACACCTGTAACTCAATATTTTTATTATTGATCCTACATGAAATTAATAGTTGAATGGCAAAATATTTTTATATCATTAGTGTAGTGATGCATCTTGGAGATATAAAAGTTTTATTCTTTCAATATTCTAACGAATGTGAAGTCATAGGTGTTAATGTGCTTGAAATTCGCAATGCACACTTTAAGTTGAATTGCTTGCATCACAGCTTACAGTACTCACCTGTAGTTCATAAGAAAGCTCAGCTTCTGCTTTCCTTGTGTTTACTTCTTGGTCAAAAGCTGCTTTTTGCATCTGGAAATCTTTTGAGGAATCGGCAATGTTGGTTTGAGTTTGGTAGACAACATCCATCTTCTGTTTCTGGCATTCTGCTTCCTGCATGGTAAAATAGGAAAAAAGGCAATAGACCCTTTGAGCTTGGGTATGTTTTTTTCCATTTCAGACCACTTGTCATGCCCTTGACAATAACATTCTTTGTGTGAGTTGTATCCACATTCATGTGTCTTCTCATGTGCAACCATTAAATGACGAAATGATACTCTAGGGAATGACAAGTGTTCTGAAATGGGAAAAACATGCTTAAGAGATCTATTGGATTATGATATACTTTAATAAAACTTTGCCACATCGTCAACCTTGAAGAAAAGTTCTCGTCATGAGTAAAGAAAAAAATGCTCTGACTGACCCTGATTCCTGCATCTCTGTTGGCTTCAGCAACACCAATGTCTGCATCTCTCTTTACTTTAGCTGTCTGTGTTTTCCCCAGAGAGTCAAGATACTGCACTTGGTCAACAATGTCTTTGATAGTGAAGGATAGAACCTCAATGCCCATTCTGCCCACATCTGGCGATGCAACTTCTCTGACCAGAGCAGCAAAAGCTTCTCGATCTATAAGAATGAAACCAATAATTGGTCAGATGGAAAGTCATTTTGTTACTCGGTCAGGTGGATGCAAGTTGGTTGATGGTCGACTGGTTGGACATTCATTCATTCATTCATTCATCC